TTTTTTCAAAATTGTCTTAGTCTCCATTCAATATAAAATAAATCTCATTTTATTTGTAAAATTGATAAATCTGCATAAAACGTGGAATTTTATGCATACAAATTTTCTTTTTACAGTAACTAAAAAATAATAATAATTTTAAAATCTTCTGTACTCAAATTACTTAAAAGAATAATATTAATATTTACAGTAACTATAAAATAATAATAATTTTGAAATCTTCTATACTCAAATTATTTAAACAGAATAATAATAATAATTTTGAAATCTTTTCTACTCAAATTACTCAAAAGAATAATAATAATAATAATAATTTTAAATTTTTTTTTACTCAAATTTTCAGGTACGGTAGTATTGTCACAATATTCAACATCATGTCAATATTTATTTTATATATACTAGGTAAATTTTCTTTCAAAAACTTTATACTGTATTTATTTAGGCTTATAATATTTTAGATACTTTTATATAATATTTTATGTCATATTCAGAAAACATCTTCAATACAAATATAAACTTTAATGTTTTTAGATATATTTTCTTTACAAAAAAATTTAAAAAAGTTTAGATGACTTCACATCTTTTGATAATAATATAGAAAAGTTTAGATAATTTTACATATGTTAATATAATATTTTAGGAGTTTTTAATTGTTTAAACATACAAATTTCATGTTCTCTTGAACAAGCTAATTTTATATCGTTTATAATAAACTGATATACCGTAAATTATATGACATACTAACCCCACATCGTTAATTTATAATTATTATTTAATAACGTTTACCCTCATCGTTAATTTATAATATCTTTTCTTGCTCTTTTAAAGAAGATCAATAGTGGTTCCCCACTTCTTTCATTGGATGACTCGAACTCGATACTTATTTATAATTATTATTTAATATTATTTATCCGTGCATCGCACGGGATACAGACTAGTAGATACTTATAAGGAGAAATTTATTATTATGAATTGCACCCGACCATCAAATTTTATTTAGAAACTTTTATTATTATCTTAAATTATTTATTAAGTTATTATGATTTAAATATAGTTATTCTTATTATTTATTAAATATTTTAAGTACTTATAAATAGTGAATATAATTAATTAGATTAATACCTACAACCATAAATGATAATGTATTTAATCAAATTAATTTCCATAATAATTTTTTTGAATTGTATCAATAAATTACTATTAAATTAATATAAGATCTTATTGAAAATATATCTAATAAATTTACGGTAAAAATTTTAATTTAGGCCAATTTGTAGTTAATGAGTAACAATCATTGAGTGTATAAAAATTAATTATGTTTTTTGTACATAAAATTTGCTAATAAATAAATATTAATCAAATGCCAAATATAGCCGAAAAAATTTCTGGCCCAAAATCATGACAATTATGTCAATAAAGATTCGTACTTATAGATATAGATATATAGTTATATATGTCCTATTTTTATGGGTTTTTAAATTAGTTTTTATAAAAAATTTGGCCAAGGTTATTTGCACAATTTTTTGTTTGGGGAAGGTCATATGAACTAATTTCCTCCACAAACAACACACTTGTGCGGCAGCGGGGACATGATTTGCGGGATTATCAACGGCGAGCGGAGGTGATTTGGTTTAAAGAAGAACTCAAAGGCAGCGAAACGAAGGTAATTTGGGCTGTAAAGTGTGTTGGGTTTCAGCTTAATTCAAGCTTCGATTTAGTTGTGTGTATTGTGTCGGTCGGCTTGATTTCCTTCCCCATCTCTGAGTAGTGTTCGTTGAGGTTGTGAGGCCTGAGATAGTCCTAATAGAAAAGAAAAATTAAGGAGCCTACAGTCTGTAGGCGGGCTGCGGCCAGGTCAACTATGCTTCCCCATTGCCAACCCTAAGTTCGTCTTACTTACTACTCGATGACCAGTAAAAGATAAATAGATAGACGGAATCATGGAATAGATAGGCAAACTAATACAACTTCTTTTTCTTGTGGATAAATTGGATATTGAAATACAATGAAATATGAAACATGCCCATTAATACATGAATGAAGAGTGGATTAGCTAGCTAACAATCTTTTGTTGTTCGTTTCCAAGGGCTTACGCGAACTGTCAGCCGAACCCATCTTTCCATTAGATGCTTTTTGTTTCAATAAGAACTGGCTGAGTCAATTTGTTTTCTTGTGTGGTTTCCTTTGTTTTCTTTTCTTAACAGATGTTTAAGAATACATTCCAGTCTGGGTTCCTCTCAATTCTCTATAGCCTCGGGTATGATTTTCGCTGCAAATTTATTGCTACACACGGCATCAGTTTTCTCTCTTAAGTTGGTTTGCGCCGCGTGGAGCTTTTTTATGGTAATTTTGATCTTAGTGTTTATATTGTGGGTTATTTTCATGTTTCAGGAGTAAGCCTCTGCAGATATGGGATAAGGAAGGTAAATCGTTTTGGTTGTTTTTCTTCTTTTGGCTTAGGTTTGGTCACTAGGTGGCATCTGTTATTAATATGAATTTCGATTACATAGGAATGAGCTATGAACTTATGATTTCATCTCCTACAATCAAAATTACAAAAATGAAATGAAATTACAGTTGACTGACTTCAAATGATCTGTAGAAACTTGCGGGCATCCGAGGCGAGTATGCTCTGTGCGTTAGACAAAAAAGCCATTGATTTCTTGGTTTCTTGTCCCTAATGATACAATAGGTACATCTCGGAAATTATAGCACACGTGATACAAAAACACTAGTGAACTTGAATGGAACGAGAACATAACACGAATATATATATGTGATGCAAAAGGCTTTTTGAGTTGCTAGTATGCAAATGAATGTTTTGTAAAACCTTTGCTGCAGCTAGAAATGTCCTATAGGACCTCCACCTAGCATAGTAGAGAGTTAGGGTTCTACTATCTTAGGTGGTGTGCAAAAAATGAACAGAAAATGGTCGGGTATTAATTCTCCGTTTTCAAGTGTTGAAAACTTAACTTAGGTCCAGCATCCAAGATGAATACTATTTTAAATGACTTGCTTCAATAATTTATTTCTTATTGACTGAAATTAGTTTTGTGAAAATAAATATGCCATCAATATCTATCTACATAGAACATAAACTGTCTCTACACAATTTAATTCTACATGAGTTTAACTTTTAGCCATTAAACAATAGTCAAAGTATAAAACCGATTAGGTCAAACTTATTTTGTAAAAATTCTCCATGAGTGGACATCCATGTATGCATGTATGCATTAATGTGCTTAATGACGGATCTGTCATCGTACATCTTCACAGTCAAATAGACCAATTCGAATTATTTTAATCGTTTTGTCGAGTTAATTTTCAACTTCGACATTAAAATTCTTAAAAGTTTCTAAGATAATATCGTTCCTCAGTAAAATATAAGTAGAAAAATCTTGTGCAATCATCGACAAAATTTTAGAACATATTTTTATCAGTTTTTGTTTTTACGTTTTTATATCACATACATTGGTATGAGTTCACCCAACGACCCAATACACATTTTCGCTGAATGGAAATGTAACTTGGTCATATTGGTTAACACAAAATTTCACATGTTTAAGTTAATATTTAATTGTATGTAGATTTATGTCCTAATCTAATGTTACAAGTCAAAGTACTCATCGCTACAAATAAAAAGGTTGTCCATTAACATTGGAAACAGTTACATGATGCATAACCATCATTTATCTTGAATAATCCCTTGCCGCAGCCCACGAACATTCCTAATAATCAACTAGGAGTGATCCAGAGATCAAATTCTTAGGAATGCTCGCGACTTGCAGTCAAGGTTATAAAGGCATTAGACGCTCGCTAATGGTGGGCTGGGGTCTAGCGCCTAGGCGGGAACTAGTTGGGGCCTAGGCGAGGTCGTAAAAATATTAATAAATTTATTTGTATTTAAAATCATGCATAACTTACAAATTATGTTGTATAAAATATACTAATCAATATGGTCAAATACAATTTTTTAGAAAATATTATATACTTATAATTATTACATTAATTTTATATTATTATTATTATTTTTGTTTTATAATTATTGTACAATCATGTATAAAAATCAAAAATTGTTTTTTTTTTTTTTAAAACAAAAAACTTAGATGGGGCGGCACTTGGACCGTCTCATCAGTCTAGGTGTGACTAAATTTGCAACTGCTTAGGCGGAGCCTAATTTCCTGAGCACCTAGAAGAGCACCTAGACAAACATAGGGGCTTGTGGGTGCTGCCTAGCGGCTATGCGGGTGCCTAGCCCGACTTTTAGTACAGTACAAACTTAGGTGGAGCTCATTACCTGAAGTTAGCTTTAATATCACAGTACGAACTCTTGTCACATAGCCTGAAGAGCTGCTCATATGAAGCTTTAGACCAATAGGCGTATAATTTGAAAACAACTCTTTGCCTTAACAGAACATAACAGACATAGGAGTGGCACTAATATCAACGTACTATACCCTTGGATTATCCACCAAATTCAGTTGTCACACCTCTTGAGATCCATCTCATTGAATTTTGGGCTCTCCAATCGTAGGGACATGAACTGTAGGTATAGGATGGTGGATGAACAGGAGGGATAGCAATAATGTCCAATTGATTTTGAATCCGCGGATTTTGATTTGAATAGGCGGATTTTGGACCAAAAAGCCACTTCCATCTAGGTTGTCATCACCAAATGAGAATATTTTCTTGCAACTGTTATGACAATGTATTTTGATTACATAGGAATTAGTTACGAACTATTGATTTCAGTTCTTACAATGGAACTATAAAGGTGAAATGAAATTATACTTGAATGACTTCAAAGTTTCTTCAAAAACTTGCGGGCAACCAACGCGACTTATTCTGTCCACAAGACGAAAACGCTCCATATAGTGTTGATGGGTTTTTGGCATCTCGCCCCCTAAGCCACAACAAATACACAACGACTATATGAATTCTGTGTGAGATAGGTCTCTTAGGTCTATCATCCTCCAATAACTAACTTATAATGTCAATTTAAATGCTAACTTTAATAATTTATTTTGCTCGTAAAAACGTATTTTTTGAGAAAATAAATATACCCATAGTATATATTTGGAACATTAGAATACTTCTGCATAATATAATTCTATACGAATTAAATTTTTTTAGCCATAAAAAATCAATCAATCAGGTCAAATCCATTATCTAAAACTATTTCTAACAGCTTTTACTACGAAACATGAGTAGATATGAATATGTAACTTGTTGATTTAGTGTCTATTTGGTTTAGTGTTGCTGCCAGTGCATGGGAACTGCATTTTTTATTCACGTTTAATCTGACTCTTTCATGGGTTCTTTTCATGGTGCTGGTTGTGAGGTTAACATAATAGTTTAATTTGGTTTCTTTAGGATTTGCTCATTTAGTTTGGTTTCCTTAGAACTTGTTCGCAAGTTAAACAGCATGACGTGTTGGATTCAAGTTGAAGAATTGATTCTATTTGTATTTAAAATTACAGAGGGAAAATAAACAATTTAGCGTTTTGGATTCAATTATGTTTTACTGATATTGGTTATTTGGAAAATCAAGAAAGCTGCAGAGATTTGCTAAAAAGTGCTCCGGACACTAGTCTAGGAAGTCCGCCAGTACACCCCAATATGTTAGTGGGTTTTGTTTTGATGATTAAACAGTTATATATATGTGCCTAAGTGCACTTCTTGAACTAGATGCTTTCATTAGTCTTTAACTTGCTATTTTCTTGGCAAAAATCTTGCAGTTGTCAATGGCCAGATCAAGCGTTTGCAAGATGATGACATACAATCCAATGTTATTGAAATAGTTGGGTCAAATGTCCAGTCTGCATATATTACCTGTCCAGCTGATCCAACTGCAACGCTTGGCATAAAGCTACCATTCTTAGTTTTGATCGTGAAAAATCTGAAGAAGTACTTCTCATTTGAAATTCATGTGCTGGATGACAAAAATGTCCGCCGGCGGTTTCGAGCTTCTAATTTTCAAGTCTGTAAGTCTTCCTTTTGGTAGTTTGTGGAATTATTACTTGATGTATGTCATATTCATGTTGCCTATGTTTTTAGTATGTATCTTTCTCGTGCTGATATTTATTTAAGAATGCATATTTTCTATGCACTGTACTCTGCACCAGTCATGCTTTTTATGTTGTTACATCGTACATTGATTCAAGAGTTGGTTTTTTGCCCACTTGCCCACTAGTAATGTACTCCCAGCTTGCTCAATGGTCAAAAGCCCCAAAGCTTATCTTTCATGAACCATTAATATGTTTTGGGCAGAAGGTTGCTCGATTGGACTTGGACTATACAATTGATGCAGTGCTGTCACATCTATAGTTGTCTGATTCCTTTTAAATTGAGAATTATGTGGTTTATTATTATTGTTGTTGTTGTTGTAAAAAGAACAGTTTTTTTCACTGTGTTTTAGGGTGTCACAAGAGTTAAACCTTATATTTGCACAATGCCATTGAAATTGGATGAAGGCTGGAACCAAATTCAGCTGAATCTTAGTGATCTGACTCGACGTGCTTATGGAACCAATTATGTAGAGACCTTGAGAGTTCAGGTTCATGCAAATTGCCGGCTCAGAAGGATATATTTCTCTGATCGCCTTTATTCTGAGGAGGAGCTCCCGCCAGAATTTAAGTTGTACTTACCGATTCAGGTAGGATTTTGTAAAATAATTTTCTAAAATCATATTACAAATTCCAAATTTGTTCATGCATTGATGGACTTTGAGCTCATGCTGGCAACTATGTTATTGCAGAAAGCCTGATTTAGCTACGGAGAGATCGGGGGATGATAAAGTATTTATGGCAATATAAACTATTTCATGTTATGATATGAGAAAGGTTCGTTTCAATGGATTGTCAACTTATTTATTGTTCATCTAAAGTAGATTTTCTTAGGCTGGATCTAGTAAAAGTGACTGTAAGCTCTATAA